ATCGGCTGTGGTTTCTAAAAAATTCTATAAAATAGTTGCAGTTACAAAAGTTCCACACATTATTTTCAATCTTTGGTGTTGTRTATTGCAATTAAAGTTTTGTGCGTTAGTTATTGTAAGAATAATAGAAATTTAACAAAATGGAATTGCCAGTGCCCGAGCAATTGAAGCAATCGTTATATGTGCCGAATAAAACGCTGATGGGACCCGGTCCCTCCAATTGTACACAACGTGTACTCGATTCGTTAAGCAATCCAGTTTTGGGACACATGCACCCAGAATGCTTCGAGGTATGTATAAATTTATTCGATTGTAAGTTTTGAAACTAAATCAAGTGCAAATGTGTAACTGACTTTCGGGAATGCTTGAAAACGGACTTTTTGATGAAAATATTACAACTTAAAATGTGATGTTTACCTTAATTGATCTCTTTTATAACGACTTTTTTCGGTCAAAAAACGCTTAACAAAGTCTGAGGCAAACGTAGCAGACTAAACTTTACCTTAAATTTTTACCGCAATTTTAATCCTTGCTCTAAATAACATGTGACCGTGGCATTACCCTTAAAAGCACAATTTATTCACAATAAATAATATTCATAACCGAAAGCTTCAAAATCTCAAAAACCTTTTGAAATTAAAAGAGCAGTGAATTCTTCGATCTTTTCTCTCTTCAATATTAGTCGAACTTCTTCACAGAGAATTTATGAAGTGTGTTGAATAGTTTTGATCGGACTTGAACAATTTTTGGTCATAAGGCGGTTTTTTTGGTTCTTGGGTATTTTCAAGGATGCCTTCATCTTCCCGGACGATATTTGCGATTCGTATTGGCCGCTAAAGATACACATCGTTTGATACCATGCCCAAGCAGGACTTGCGGCACAGTACGCTTACGTACTAAGCTCTGAACTCCGTCATCATTCGGTCCACAGACTGCCATTAAGCATTACGTCATAAGAGATACATCGGTCGTCTAGATGTGCGATTCCACCTATTGTTGTAGACAGTCCGTTCCGGTTACTTAGACCCGTCTATCGTGGGAACATTTTTACGCGTCCTTTGTCTTATTTCAACCGCGTGTCTTATAAATCCCTCTCGTACCATCTCGGCTGTAAAACCAATTGTCTCTGGTGTATTTAGCTACTGATTTTTCGCACTTTTAGTAGTTCTAAACAAACCGTTATATGGAGAGTGGACGGGATTATCATTCCTTTTTTCAGTGTTGGCTCAATAGATTTGTCCGAAGCGAAGTGGGTTGTTGCGTCTTAAGTTTTTATGTTGGGAGGTATGTTTATTCAAACTTTCAGATCACACCATTTGTATCTTCTTCCCGGCGATTCTTATGTGCCTTTAAACATTATGGAAGCCACTAACTGTCTTCTCTAAAGTAGAAATATTTAAGACGAGTTTTCGTGTTTCGAAAAATTCTGTACGAAAAATTCCGTATGTATTGTCTATTCTTTAATTTTGATACCTTAAATTTTCCGAAGGGGTCGACTCTCCACTCAAAAATAAATATCCTAGTTTATAAGACCACATAGTTCTCATAATACCACCCTACACCCACCCTAAATACATATAGCACCTTTGTATTTGTTGTATAAAAATATAACATCTGCAGCGATACAGACGATTTCGCTYCGCTTCAAATAAAAAAGTCCCTGATAACTTAGCCGCCTATATTTGCTTGCCGCCAATGACTTTTGATCCCCAACTGTGTTGCCTTACAAGGCGTTTTCGTCGGAACGCATGTAGGAGTACATATATTCCGGTGCTGATCGATCGGTTTTCAATAATGGCAAAGCAGAAAACAAAATAATGTAAATAAAAATAACCGTACAAAGTCTGAAGATTTACTTGGGTTATTTAAATGGTGTATTGTTTCCTACTGTGAATGAGTTGAACCTATTATTTCATTACAGATTTSAACTCAACCTAAAGTCATACATTCCTTTTTGGAAGTTGTGTTAAAAGTAGTATTAGACCACTATAACCACCAAACTAATCGATCCAAATCAAGTCCTTGTAAGGCAGACTCTTTTTATTTAACAATGTACCTTTACAAAATTAAGATGTTAATGATCAAGGAAACGTCACAATCTCCGCACACATTGTTCTGCTCCGATCGCATACCACACTCACTGACCGATCAAAATTACGACTAAGATCTTATACTCTTTTATGTTTGTAGTCCTTGGACGGAAAATAATCCACATTAGTTTCGGTTCACATCAGATCAATCTGACTTTTATGCAAACGTAAAGCTATACCCCTAAAGCGTTCTCATCAATGTCAGCCATTAGTAGTTGCAGGAAATCCTACCAACCTSTACCAATTTTAATATTTACGATAATTTCATTTACTTCCAGATCATGGACGATATCAAGGCAGGCGTCAAATATATTTTCCAAACTAAAAACACTGCTACGATGTGCATTAGCGGCTCGGGACATGCCGGCATGGAGACAGCTTTTGTTAATCTCGTGGAGGATGGCGACATTGTGCTACTCGCCTGCACYGGTTTGTGGGGATATCGCGCCGCCGAAATGGTTAAACGTTTAAATGGTGATGTGCGCTATGTGGAGTCACGTTTTGGTCACGCATTGTCACTTAAAGAAATCGAATTCGCCTTTGAGGGACACAAACCACAAGTTTTCTTTATTGCACAAGGTGACTCCTCGACGGGCATTTTGCAGCCACAACTAAAGGAAATCGGTGAGCTTTGCGAAAAATACAATTGCCTTTTCGTGGTTGATACAGTCGCCTCATTGGGTGGCGTTGAATTCCTAATGGATGCCTGGAAAGTTGACATGGCCTATACGGGTTCACAGAAGGTGCTCGGCGCACCTGCCGGCATTACGCCAGTCTCATTCAGTGATCGTGCCATCGCGCGTATAAGAGCGCGCAAATCCTACGTAAAGTCTTACTATTTTGATGCGTTGCTCGTTGGACAGTATTGGAACTGTTTCGACACGCCACGCATCTATCATCACACCATTTCCTCGACGCTTTTATATGGACTGCGCGAAGCATTAGCACAGTTTTGTGCTTTRGGCCGCAAAAATGTGATACATCGCCATCAAGAGTGCTCACATCGGCTGCAGTGTGGTGTGGAGGAGATCGGATTGGAAATGTTTGTGGTGAAAGCCAGTGATCGTTTGCCTACCGTAAATACCATCAAAGTRCCAGCGGGTGTGGAGTGGCAAAAGGTGTCTCAATATGCGATGAGAAAGTGAGTGCGGAAATATCTGAGTTAATTAAAAACAAAATTAACTTTTTCAAATTTTTAGATACAAATTGGAAATCAGCGGTGGCTTGGGACCCACAGCCGAACAAGTCTTCCGTATTGGACTGATGGGMGCAAACGCCACTTACGAACGCGTCGACTTAGTACTCAACATTTTGCATGAAGCTATACAAAGCACAAAATTTGTTGAAAAATCAAAGATTTAACAGAAATATTGATTTTTAGTTACTCATCCTCAGTCGTATACGTCACATTTCTATCAATTTAGGCTATCCATTAATTTTGTTACTTTCCCATACAGATCCATTGTAATACTCATGCCTCTAGTTATAATTATAGAGTAAATGCAAAATATTTGAAAATGAATCTAAAAACTCTTTCATTTGACTAATCCCTAAAAATTTATATACTTTGAGTCTATCCAAATCTATTAAGTTGAACTGAAAATCCACTAATATTTGAGGATCTTGTCATCTCCCCGTGAGCTACCGGCTAGCAACTTGAAGATTTTATTGCGGCTGTCTTGGAATTTTTCGCARCCATCGGGTAACTCATTGTTTGACCCTGTCTGTTTTTGTTATAACGGTTATCTAGTCTCCGTTAGGGTGTGAAGGGTCAGATAAGTTGTCGTCGTGGTCATGTTGTTGTTGTAACGATTATCAGTCCCCGTTGGGATGGTGAGGGTTATCAGTGTTGTCG